GTACCATAATATATGATACATACATTTAGTGTATCAAGATACAAGATACATTGTGAGTGTAGAAAATATACAATAGATACTTAGATATACATGATTCTTTTATATTTCCAATATAATTTTGTTTACTATAAAACTTAAAACGTCTCTACAATTCTACATAATTAACTATAGGTACTGTCAATACATAAATACTAAAATACTTATAATGTCATAATTATATTAAATAATACAATGAGTCAATTGTACACATTATAAATTTATAAGTAATACATCATTATATAATATAAAATATAAATACACCAAAAATAATAAATCACATAAAAATGACATTATAATTTGTACTTATATAATATAGTTCATATATGTATATAATTGTTTATGAACTCACGGTCAAAAATTAATGTATGAATATTTAAATTAAATTGGTTATTGTTTCATGGACTTAATATATGTTATGAATTATCTGTATACTACGTATAGGCACGTATACCGTATATGGGCTACTGACATACGGGTACCTTAATTTAATATTATGTTTTTAAAATTATCTTACAACTTTACAAATTATAAAGTTGTGTGGTACATTTTTTCGTTAGGTATCGTTAATTTGATTGCACCAGGATAATTTTTCRTAAAAATATAATTCTTGACGAAATTATCTAATATTGAAAATCAAAATGTCTTGGTACTATTCATTTCACATTTTAACAATAATAATATTATTATATTTTGTATCTTTTGGAAAAAAAAGATAGAAGAAACTAGTATAAAATGTATCATGCTACAAGATACTTGATACTTTAAAATTATACTATATCATGATACAAGATATAATATTGTATCTTTGATACTGTCCAGTGTCCATCCCTGTATATAGGYATTATCTTAAAATTAATACAATATGCATAGCTCTTCTCAGAATCTAAAATATTATAGAATAATAAATTACAATCGATTGGTCAAAATAAAAATAAAAATATGATCAATTTTTGTAATGCATTTCAGCTTAACCTCATGATTGCATTATCATTTTACTAAATGTTATTTTAAATGTGGATGCAATTAGATTAAGCACACACATAATTTTTTTTATATAATATTATATCTCATTGTGTACTCATATATTTTATGTTGAAGTAATAACATAGGTACCTAACCTATATCTATATGTGTCATCTATACCTATGAAAAAATATACTGTAGAGAAATTGTTTACGTAATGTTGCAGAGATRACGATAGATAC